CATGGTGGACAACAATGGCCCCTAAAAACAGCTGCAAAGGGTCCTCAGTCTGCTCTGACACAACTTGAGGGGAAGCCTTTGTTTGCTCTGTTTTCCTGTTCTGTGTGGTTTTTGTTCCACCAAACTGAAGAGGTACATTCTGTGCAGATGCTGCTGGGGTGATTCCCACGGGAGGCCCTTCTTTTTGCTGGTTCATCCCACCTTTACCTGGCCAGGGGGTCTGGGGCTGGCTGAGCAGCAGCACCCAGCAGCTGCTGCCCAGTGCTCATGGGGATTTCAGGGATTTCGTGCTGCTTTAGCAGTGCCTGTGTTTGACTGACTGGGGAAGGGCTGCACAGCCTTCAGCTCCCTTTGCAAGAGCAGGTTTTGGCCTTTTCCTCCCCAAGATGCAGCTGGAAGGGGTGGGACAGGCTTTTCTCCTCCCTCAGCCCAGGCTGGGAGCTCGGGGTGCCCCTTGCCTGGGGTGAGTCCCACCTGCCCCCTGCAGGGTTTTTGCAGAGGGATTGCAGGATCCCCCCTGTGTGTGGGGAGAAAATTCCCTGCCCTGGGAGGCAGCTGCTGCCCTGGCAGTGTGCATTGCCACCAGCCATTCTTCATTTTCTGTGCTCATCTGCACTTCTTTTAGGGCCCAATTGGCTGAGCACAACCTGAGCAGGATAATTTAATATTATTAGTGTTATTAATATCACTGCTGCAATCTAATTAGGGCCTAAATGAGCTGGGTACTGAATTTCCCTCAGTATTTTGTATTTCTTTCATCCTCCTTCCCTGCCCTGTGTTGTTCTGCCTTGCACATGAGATGTGATGAGGAAATCACTGTCCATTGATGCTGAGGCTTCAGGAGGGGAAAACCAGCACCAAACAATGTGACTGGAAAATACTGGTCCTTGAACCAGCTGGGGAATAAGGAGGATAAATAAGTGCCAGCATTTCTGGGCTGGGAGGCTCTCCAAGAGGAATGCTCTCCAAATGACACACACGAGCTTGCTTCCCTCTCCCCACTGCCCTTTCCAGACTGGGAGCTGTGTGTTGGCTTTGGCAGAAGCAGAACTTTTCCACAATCACAAATAACAGAGAAAATACGAAGTTATTGGCTCATAAGAGATAAACAAAGATAAAGGGCTAATCCTTTCCTCAAACCTTAAGTAAGGTCAACTCATGGCTGTGCCATGAAAGACTCTGAAAAGGAGTTTTCAGGAGAAAAACCAGAATTCCTGGATTTGCTTCTGGATTGGCCATTGTCATCCAGGCTTGTTCTCCAGGGCTTGGGCTCCCCAGCTGTGGGGCACTGGGAGCACTTAGGGACTCGAGTCTGACTGCAGCTGCTGAGCTGCTCTGTGCCCTGCCTGGGGCTGTCCTGTCACCCTGCACAGAAAAATCCCTGCTGGGGCTGCCCTGGATCCCTGGCAGTGCCAAGGCCAGGCTGGACACTGGGGCTGGGACACCCTGGGACAGTGGGAGGTGTCCCTGCCGTGGCAGGGTGGCACTGGGTGGCCTTTGATGTCCAGACCAGTTTGGGATTCTGTGGTGATTCAGATTTTCCCTCATTCTAAGCCACTTTAGGATAAAAAGTTGCCTTGGATTAGCTCTGCTTTCAGAAGATAGTTTTGCCCTAACCAATCAATTTAAAGAGACAAGGACTGTGTGTTATAAATGCACATTTGGAGGCACATGCTCTATTTTAATTAAAAAAAATATTATGCAGGGGCTGCAGGATGAATACTGAAGATGCATGGCCCACCCCCTTCCATTAGTGAGAAGACAACACAAAGCTGTAGGCAGATATAAAAGCATTAAAATAATTAATTTTCCATTTTATTGTGTGTCAACAGAAATGTATAATAATAAGCATTTTTTTGCAAAAACTGTGGATTAAGCATTTTTCTCTACATCAGTGGTGTGCTGGAAATGTCCTTGCTTTAATGTAGAACAAATGGCCCTTGGATCTCATTAAAGGTGGTGCTCTGAGTGCTCAGAGAACTCTCAGTGCTGCTGGGGCAGAGCAGTAAGTTGCTAAAAAAAGGTGACAAATACTCAACAAAAGACAAAGGAAGAGTAGAAATGAAAGGGAAGTAAAGGAGAGTTAAGAATTGTACTTGTGGGAGCACCAAGGAGCAGGTGGGAGAGAGCTCTGCCTCCTTCTGGGGTGGCAGAGCAGGGCTGAGGGCAGCTCTGGGAGGAGCAGGGAGCACCCAGGGGCTGGGCTGGGACCGTGGTGGGGACCCCAGGGAGGGGATGGGATAAGGGGATAAAGGGATAAGGGGATGGGATGGGATAAGGGGATGGGATGGGATAAGGGGATGGGATGGGATGGGTGAGCTGGGATGGGAAAATGGGATGGGATAATGGGGTGATGGGATGGGATGGAGCAGTGTCAGTTCCCACAGCAGGCACAGGGACATGGCCCTTCCCAGAGCTCACGTGCTGCTGCAGGAACAATCCTTCTGTTTCAAGAGGGGCTTTGGAGGCTCTGGGAATTCTGTGTTATCCTGCAGAGGTGTTAAGCCTGCCCTGCTCAGTGCAGGATTTGTTTGGCACAAGCCAGAACTGGTGGGGTTTGCCCCCACCCCTTGCAGGCTCAGTGCTGGGCAAGGCTTCCCCAGCACTCCCTGCAGGCAGGGAAATGAAAAGGAGCTCCAGTGTGAGTGCAGCACCAGTCTGGGCCAGGCATGGAGCAGCTCTGCAGCCTCTCTGGCACTCTGGCTTATCATCACTGTTATCTCTTGAAGGGATTTCAGTTGATATTTTGCAGAAGACTCTGCTGAGGATGTGTTATTGACATATTCTTAGCTTAAAACCATTATCATGGCAAATCCCTGGATTTAGAAACTAATTACAAGACATTAATAGCTGAGCCTGAAGAGCTAAGTCATGCAAATATTGCTGTCTGCGAAGTGGAATATACACAAATATAGTCTGAAGTGCTGAGGTAGGAGCTGCAGTCTGGAGGTGGCAATAAATCTGAGCCCAGTCCTCGCCGCTGGGTTCTGTGTGTCCGTGAAATTAATGGCACCATCATTATGAAAGTGGGATCAGGAACGTGGCTATTTTCTTCCCTGAGTAGGTTAATTACCACTAATGTAATTATTTTTGTACTGATTTTTATTTTAATCAAACATTGCACGAAACAATTAAGTTCAGAACAAATGGCTTATTATGGAAATGTTTGTGGCAGAGGGAAGCAAAGCAACAATATTTGAATTATCCACAGATATTGAGTTACTTTATTCATTAAAATGAACAATTACATTAGGCCTTACGAGACAGACTAAGCATTTCTTGTTAATGTTTGTTCTATAGTGAACATAATGAGAATATATATTGTGAGTGGATCCAGTCCCTCTTCTGGAGGCATTCGGGATGGGGGATGTGTGGGAGCAGGAGAACATCCTCCCCAGAGCTGCCAGGGCTGCAGTCAGGGGCTCCTGGTGTCCCTGGGCACAGAGCTGCCAAGGGTGCAGCTCAGGCTGTGACACTGTTGGCTCGCTCTGGGTGCAATGTCTGGCTGCCTCTTGGGCTGGGAAGAATAAATTCCCTTACCCTGGACTGAAATTCAAGGTTCTACATTAAAACCCCCGGTTTTTCTGTTAGTTGCAAGAGCACTTTCTCGCAACATTTAAGTGACCTAAGGAAAAACAGCTGCAATGTTGTTTTTAATGACACTTACTCACATCTATCCCGGGGATCAGGTTTGATGTTTGGAAAGGACACACACACACACACAGCAGCTGCTGGAGCCACTGAGGTGCTGCTGGGCTGGTAACTGGTGCTGGCAATGCCAGGGCCATCCCAGGCTTCCAGTCTGGACTGTTTCACTGGGGCTCCAATGCCAAACCTTCCTTGCTCTTGGAAGCTGGTGAGTGGCTTTAGTCAGGCAGAGCTGGAAATGATTTGTGAGCCCCGTTTTCCACAGTACTTGGGAGCCTTTGTTGCCTGCCTTGGAGTTCAGGATTCTCCAGACTGCAGAGTAAGTGAGACTTTCCATGTATTTAATGTAACCATTTATCATTTGCATTCCCAGAAGCACATGTGGTATTTCAAAAGCTGAATGTGACTTTGAAATGAAATATTATCTAATTATTGCATTTTTCAGTGATGACCATTTTCTTTGTCCTTCATATTTCTCACCTGGCTCATATAGCAGACCTTCCCCCATTCTCAGTGATCCCATGCCCTACAGAAAACATTCCCCCCTCATTTCAAATCTTCCCTGGTCAGTAGCACTTCCAGGAAAGGAGATCTCTGCTCTGTCTCGGTAAGAAGCCCCAAGGTTTGTGGGAAGCAGCCTTGCAAGTGTAAGTCCTGCCTTCCCTCGAGGTTTGCAGTGTTGTTACTGATTCTCATGAAAGAACAGCTTTTCACTCTCGTGGTTTATCTGGGCTTGGATGTCATTCCACCAGACTTAACGAGAAATGGAAATGAGAAATGGAGGCAGTGAGCACAGCTAGGAGCCAGAGCCCCACACAGAGGCACCGGGGTGTGGTTCCAGGACTCTGCCCATGGGAAGTTTATCCGCTCGGGGTTTGTGTTTTGGGGCTCCCCTGAGCCCCCTCCCTTCATTCCCAGCTCACGTCTGTGGCTGCCAGCCCTAACCCCCAGCCTGTTTGTGTCCCTGTCCCACAGATTGAGGATATGCAGTGGGGCAGGGACGTGTGTTCTGTGCCCCCCTCGGTGTGCAGCCAGCCCTAAGCCAGGCCTAAACCAGCCCTAAGCCAGGCCTAACCCCGAGCCTGTTTGTGTCCCTGTCCCACAGATCGAGGACATGCAGTGGGGCAGGGACATGTGTTCTGTGCCCCCCTTGGTGTGCAGCCAGCCCTAACCCCGCTCTAAGCCAGGCCTAATGCTGAGCCTGTTTGTGTCCTGTCCCACAGATCCAGGAGATGCAGTGGGGCAGGGACGTGTGTTCTGTGCCCTCCTCGATGTGCAGCCAGCCCTAAGCCAGGCCTAAACCAGCCCTAAGCCAGGCCTAACCCCAAGCCTGTTTGTGTCCTGTCCCACAGATCGAGGAGATGCAGTGGGGAGGGGGGGTGCGTGCCGTGCCCCCCTCGGTGTGCAGCCAGCCGTGCCGGCCGGGCGAGAGGAAGAAGATGGTGAAGGGCATGCCGTGCTGCTGGCACTGCGAGCTGTGTGACGGCTACCAGTACCAGGCCGACGAGGTCACCTGCCTGCTGTGCTCCTACAACGAGCGGCCCAACGAGAACCGCACCGGCTGCCGCTCCATCCCCATCATCAAGCTGGAGTGGCACTCGCCCTGGGCCGTCATCCCCGTCTTCCTGGCCATGCTGGGCATCATCGCCACCATCTTCGTCATGGCCACCTTCATCCGCTACAACGACACGCCGATCGTGCGGGCCTCGGGCCGGGAGCTCAGCTACGTGCTGCTGACCGGCATCTTCCTGTGCTACATCATCACCTTCCTGATGATCGCCAAGCCCGACGTGGCCGTCTGCTCCTTCCGCAGGATCTTCCTGGGGCTGGGCATGTGCATCAGCTACGCGGCGCTGCTGACCAAGACCAACCGCATCTACCGCATCTTCGAGCAGGGCAAGAAGTCGGTGACGGCGCCGCGGCTGATCAGCCCCACCTCGCAGCTGGCCATCACCTCCAGCTTGATATCGGTGCAGCTGCTGGGGGTCTTCATTTGGTTTGCAGTTGACCCGCCCAACATCATCATAGATTATGATGAGCAGAAAACTATGAACCCCGACCAGGCCAGAGGAGTTCTCAAGTGTGACATTACGGATCTACAAATCATTTGTTCCTTGGGTTATAGCATTCTGCTCATGGTGACGTGCACTGTGTATGCCATCAAGACTCGGGGGGTCCCAGAGAATTTTAATGAAGCCAAACCCATTGGATTCACTATGTACACTACCTGTATAGTATGGCTTGCCTTCATTCCAATATTTTTTGGCACTGCCCAGTCAGCTGAAAAGGTAGGTGAGAGTGCACCCAGGATTCACTGTGGTTGTAGCCACGTGCTGGTGGTCAGCTGTCCGTGGATTTCCAGCTGAGCTCTCCAGTCAGCTCGTTCCTCACTCACAGGCAATCTGTGGCACTGTTTTCCTTCCCCGTTTAGCTCGTGGGCCATCCATTTTAAAAACCGGCAAATGATCAATAGCAATCACGTTAGCCATTAGTTTTATTGTTGCATCTATTTCAATTGTTTCTTTACAGTAGGATAAGTGGGAATTAGCTGTCATATTACCCACAAAGAGGCATCTCCTAACTAAATCATTTTGAATACAAGATGTAAGCAAGAGAACTGTCAAAAAAATACTCAGGTGGGCCCCTGTGCCTCTGGACCTGAGCCCTGAGGGCAGTGTGGAGTCTGATGAGTGCTGTGCTCACAGAACAGCCCCAGGACACATTTACACCACGGTGTAAAGGGCCTGTCCTGAGCTCCCGTGGCTGAGCCCAGTGGCTCCAGCTGATGCTCCACCATGCAGATTCACTTTCACTTCTCCCTGGAGAAAAGCTGTCCTTTCAGAGGGATTTGGCAAACACCCCCAAGTCTAGTATTTAGAGGCAGTGGCGATACTGGGCTGTCCTGAACTGCTGTCAGTCTGGTTTACCCCTCCACCCCAGCCCAGCCTGGAGGAAGCTGCTGCCACAGCCTTACCTGTGGTGCCCTGGATCCAGACATCCTCACCTGCCTCAAATGCTCCCAGCCCCTGCATGGATGTGGCAGCACATCCATCTGTTGTCTCCAGAGCCTGAACCCGCACTTCTCGTGGGACCTTTGGCTTCTTGGTCCTTTTTCCTCCTCTGTTTCCATTCTGCGTTTGTTCTGGAGCACAGCACTGGGGCAGGCCCAGGGCTGTGGATGGCTTACTGTGTTTGTAAGGGGTGAGCAGATTTCAGAGCCCAGCTGGAGCTGTCCCTTCCAGGAGGCACAGGTCACTCCAGCTGTGGAGGTGCAGCTGCAGGAGCACACCCGGGCCTTGGGACAGCTCCAGCTGAGGCTCCAGGGCTCTTCCCTGCTCAGGGGCTGCTCAGAGCTTCGTTCTCTCCAGCTCAGGAGGCTGCAGGGATTTGCAGGTGTTTGGCCTCAGGGGAGGAGGGGATCACCCAGGAGGGAGTTTGATGAGAGGGGATCACTCAGGATCAGAGGCAGGAACAGAGCTTGTAGAGAGGTTCCCACAGATCCTCTCACCTCTGCACTGGGCTTTCCAGAGCCACTGCATCCCAGAGGGAATTCATTTCAGTGGGAAAGGAGACCTGCCAAGGCTCACAAGCACTTCAAACGCCTCTGCTCTCCCTGTTGAGGTGAGATAAGGAGAGCAGCAGCTGGGAGTGCAGCGGGGTCTGTTTGTACCTGCTCTGACACCAGGAGGGCTGAGCAGCTCCTGCCTGGCAGTGGGGCTGCAGGGGACGGAGGTGAAGTGCTTGGAGTCGTTGTCTGCAGAGATTTAACCGGCTGATATTAAACCACAAAAAGTCCAAAGGCTCTGCCAGCACTCAGGGCTGTGCAGCAGCAAAAGCCTGAGGTTTCCACATGCTCCTGGGGCTGAGCTAAACCTGGGCTCTGGGAGCCCTGGTCCTTGTACAGCCCATGCAGGACAGCAGAAGGGAGGAGGATGATGATGGATGGTGATGATGATGATGATGAGCTTGATCTCACCCAGAGCACAGAGGGTGGGACAGGGCAGGGCAAGCAGCCCTCGGTGTGCTGTGCTCCATCCTGGGGACATTGGGGATGTTGGGGACAGGGACAGCAGGGGCTGCTCTCTGCTGCTGGGGCTCATCCCCATTCCTTGGGCTGGAAGCTGCTGTGTCTTGTCCAGGAAAGCCCCCAGTGGGACCCCTGTGCAGGGGCTGTGTGTGGAGGGCCCCAGGTGCTGTCCCTGTGTCCCTGTCCCTGTGTCCCTGTGCTCCTCCTGGGGCTTTCCCCCTCCTGCCCTGTCCTGTCCAGAGCCGTGCTGCAGGAGCTTTGCTGCTTTTCCTCCTTTCCTGGCACTCCTTTTGGGTGGGGGTGCAGGGACTGTGCTTTTTGGTGCTTGCTGCTGATTTCCTGTCAGATATTTCCTCTGGAAAATATTGTGCCTCAGCTTAGCCACACACGTCTGTGCTGAAATGGAAATTGCACCTGCTGAAAAATCTCATGCAGCACGGTCTCTAAAACTGAGGAATGGGGTTATATATAACACTGGGGGTTTCAGTGGATGGATTTATTTTATTTTATCGATAAACACAAGCATAATGTTGTTTGGTGGAAGGCATATTGTAAACACCTGCCTTGTTCAGGGTACGGAATAACACCTCCAACAAAAAAAAAAACCACCAAACCCCTAGCAATGTGCTGCAGGTAATTCATAAAAGGTGAATAATTCAAGCAGGAGCTGTTGCAGCAGGTGGAGGGAGGAGGGGTGGTGTGAGGAAGGCCAGAAATCCGAGTTTCTCCAGGATGGAGATGAGCCATGAGGAGCAGGAGAGGTGACACGTGGCAAAAGCAGATTTCAGACCTTTTAACAGCTTGAGTTCACCCGACTGTTTGTTTGTCCACATCAGGAACGGAGAGAACGCGTGGCTGGTTGCGGCGTATGGCTCAGCTGTGATTTATGGCCTTTGTTGGGATGCAGCACGTGGATCCCAGGGATGTGCTCATCCTTCCCCTGGGCTTCCATGGCTGTCAGTCAGAGCTCCTGCTCCCTGCCTGCCTCTCTGCAGCTCTGGGGGCTGTGTTCTCCTGTAGCCTGAAATGCTGGGACAGCTTGGAGGAGCAGGACAGCCCTGGGGCAGGGCGTGTGCTGTCCCTGCTCAGGAAGGTCCTTCCTTTAGTGTGTGCTTCATGGAAAGCCACTGTGCCTTTCAGCTGAAGGAGGGGACATTTAGACTGGATATCTGGAAGGAATCCACCCTGTGAGGGTGGGGAGGCCCAGGGTGCCCAGAGAAGCTGAATGTTCCCCCAAAATCTCATTTTCTCAGACTGTGTCATTGGGCTGATGGAGACAGAGGTGTCATTGTTATGTTTTCATGTTTCATAGAGGTTCTGCTGCCTCAGAGCTCTGATTGCTTTTATTTAGTAATTGTGCTAAGATTAAACAAACACACTGCTGGATGTGTTTACCAGCCAGTGAGAGCTGTCAGTGTGCTCCTGAAATACATCCTGCCAGGGGGATTCTTCTCCTGAACGATCTTCAGGGCTTTTTTCAAGTTAAAAAGCTCTAATTGTGCCTCTGAGTGAGGGGTGACTATTGTTCAGCCAGTGTGGTTGTCCTGCTTGGGAGATTTATTGCAGTGATGAGAAACAGGGAAAAGTTGAAATAGGGAAAAGAGCTGTCACCTTCCATCAGCTTATTTTTGCATAACTTTCACTTGTAAACTGTTGAGGGGTTTTTTTGGGGGGGGTTGTAGGTTTTGTAATGAAATTTGGAGTCCCTAATCCCATCAGCTCTTCCACCTTCCTTCTTGTTTCTCTATTTTTTTATTTTTATTTTGTGCCCCTTTTATTCAAATCAATGAGCAGGGCAAGTCAGGCATATTTGGCAGCAACACTTTTCCTTATTGTGTTGAGTGTTCCATAAATACTGTAATTTGAAGGCACATGCAAAATGGGTCCTTGTTCAGATTAAATAATGTCACATTAGCACAGGAGCACTTCAGTCTCTGTTCTATTTTTTGGTGGAACTAAGTTACCCTTCAATTCTCTGTAACACAAATACCAATTAGCCAGGTAGGACACACTTTTATTTTCTCCCTTGGGAAGGCTTGGGCTGACAGTTGCTATAGCAACTCTACATATGTGGATTTGGGAGTTATGAGGAATTTAATGCAACATTTGTTGGAGTTTCACACTGTGGGATTGTGGAGGAAACCAGGCTTTGAGGCTCCCAGGGAATGTGCCTGGATCTGCTGTGATTTGGGGCTCTCACAGGGACACTGTGGATTGCAGCTTTTGTTCCAATTTTTTTATCATTTTTGTTTAAAGGAGGATTCTGATAGCAGGGATTTCTCATTGATGCACTTTCACTTCACCCATCACTTCGTTATCTGCATGTTCAGATGCTGAAGTTCTTCATTTCACCCAGCCTGGACTGTATCCCTGAGAACACCCTGGAATTCAGGGATCTGGCATTACAATTGTCCTGAGTCAAGGCTGAACTGAAGAGCAGCTTCACCTCATTGCACTCCGACCTCCAGGCTGAGGAGAGGAGAGGTCTGGAGAGCCTCAAAGCACAGGGTATTCAAGAAAATCCATTTTTGTGGAGTACTGGAGTTCCACATTTTAACTGAGGAGAAATTAGGTGGTCTCTGAAATCCAGAAGTGAAATACTCAGTGGAATTTTTGGAAGGCTGATGACCTTCACTACAAAACTGATCCTGGCCTAGGTTTTTATCAGTTTATATAACAACACTGCTGAAAAGTGTATAAAAACCCTTGTTAAAACCTTTGAGTGTCTGTAGGGTTTCAATTCTAATTTCTGTAGAACTGAACAAAAATTTTAAGCACAGCTCCTGGGTAAAGTTCTCCGTGAGATTTCCCTCATTGCCTCCTGCATTCATTGTCCTCCCCAGTGGGAAGGGAGGCTGTGACCAGTCAGAGCCCAGCCAGATTAAAGGCTTTTTAGGGTGCCACTGCCAATGGTTTAACCCCAAGCAGGAGCTCAGGATTTCCATCTGTGCGGTTGAAGTTCTACAGGAATCCCAGGTCCTGGAGCTGTTGTCTCTGTTTTCCTGATTTCCTCTCCCTGGTGCTCTGGAGGGAGCTCTGCTCCCTGGACAGACACTCAGACCCAGCACCCCCTGGCTAGGGCTGGGTTATGGCCCCTGAGGCTCCTGGGGGAGAGAACACCCCAGGAAATACAGAATATTCCTGGCTGGGCTGGTTCCCTGTGTTCACCAGGAGCTCTGCCACGGCTCCCTCTGCCACCAGGGCTGCAAAAGAGAAAGAAAAATGGCAAACTTGGTGCCTAAACTTGGGCATCTGTGGGTC